TGTTACCCAGGCTGGAGTGCAATGGCGCGATCTCGGCTCACCGCTACCTCCGCCTCCTGGGTTCAGGCAATTCTCCTGCCTCAGCCTCCTGAGTAGCTGGGATTACAGGCACGCGCCACCATGCCCAGCTAATTTTTTGTAGTTTTAGTAGAGACGGGGTTTCACCATGTTGACCAGGATGGTCTCGATCTCTTGACCTTGTGATCCACCCGCCTCGGCCTCCCAAAGTGCTGGGATTACAGGCTTGAGCCACCGCGCCCGGCCTTGCATATTTCTTAAGGGGTTAAAAAATAAGGGGGGAATAAAATGAACCAAAAGAAAAATTTAAAATCTGCTTCACCCACACACATAGCAATAGTGCAGTCTATGCAAGGATTTTGTTTACAAAGACCTAGGAAAATTCAAACCCTGCATCATTCAACACTAATATCCCCCTAGGAATAGTCAGAGAATAGAGAGGAGGCATTGTCAGGGCATAAATTTACATCCTTAGTGGAATATATCTACGCTAATGTTGCCTTTTTAATTTTCTCAGCTTCTGCTCTGATGTTGTATTGAGTCTCCACTAAATTAACTGCACAGTGCATTGTGGTGCTTGTTTAAGCATCTTTGTAGTATAACGTCTAATTTCCGCTTCAAAGTAATTGATCTTCATGAATTTTTAAAAAATCTTCTAAAAGCTCTACTATTTAATGAATATTTGGATGAGACGGGTGTAGTCATTAAGATACTTAACATTTTAATAAAAGTAAATGTTAAAATAACTGTCCATGATACAAAATCATTTAGGATATTCGAAAGCATTAGTAACAATGTGTTCATCACAGGAGACTCGCAATCATGGATTTGATTGTTAAATGGGTCTGTTTTAGTTTATATGCTGAAGTGATATGCTCAAGTCTCATTGACATAACCAAAGTTCACAATTAGTGTTCTTTACTGCTAAGTTATGTGACTCCTTACAAATTTTGGAAACTTTGGGAGATCTGCATGATATTGAAATTTGTACCTAATGTTGATGTAGGGCAGGCAAGCCCTCAGATTAGGGCTTAGCCCTGGACGGTTTTTGGTGAGCTGGTGGTGTTGGATAGCAACTTTTACTGAGGCGGCGGTGCACCACAGCAGCAGAAATACTACTTGTGGTGCAGGGCTCCTCTATAGGTGGCGTGTCCAGAGTAGCTCAGGGGCACTTCTGGAGTCATGTTTATACCCACTTTTTTTTTTTTTTTTGAGATGGAGTCTTGCCCTGTCACCTGACTGGAGTGCAATGGCGAAATCTCAGCTCACTGCAACTTCTGCCTCCCAGGTTCAAGCAATTCTCCTGCCTCAGCCTCCTGAGTAGCTGAGATTACCCATTATGCCAGCTAATTTTGTGTGTGTGTTTTTGTAGAGACGGGGTTTCACCATGTTGTCCAGGCTTGTCTTGAACTCCTGACCTCACATGATCAAGCCTCCCAAAGTGATGGGAGCCTCAGACTCCCAAAGTGGTGGGATTATGGGCGTGAGCCACTGCAACTGGCCAATACTTTTTTTTGTCTACATAGTAAGTTAAATGGTGATGTGTAGTAGAGAAAACCATATACAGTAAAGAGAAGAAATACAAAACAGCAGGAGGTTAACATTTTGGACTGAGTGGCCAAGGAAGGCCTGAGAAGATGGCTTTTAAGTTGATATTTTAAAAAAGCAAGAGAAATAGTCATGTGGATTCCAGGAGAAAGAGTCTCCCAAGCAGAGAAATCAGAAAGTGTACAGACTCTAGGACAGCCTAAATGGCTCCTTGTGTTCAAAGATTGGTAAGAAAGCTACTGAAGCTGAAAAAGAAGAGGGCTAAAGGGTTAACAGGAGAATAGGTCAAGTAGGGCCTCAAGGAAGAGTGAAGTCTTAGGCTTTTAATCTGGGCCACATGGGGGCTGCTGGAAAGCTTAGAGCAGTGGGTGACTCTGTCTGAATTCTGTTTTAAAGGGATTACCCTGACTTCATGGGAGCAAGGGTAGAAGCAGTAATCCAGATGAGAGACGATGGCAGCTTGGACCAGAATCGTGTCAGCAAAATCATGGGAAGAGGTCAAATTCTGACTATACTTGGCCAATAAGCTGACAGTATTTGTTGCTTACTAGAGTGGATGTATCAGAAAGAGAGAAGTCAGGGTTGACACCTCAGCCTAAGCAACTGATTTAATCCTTCCAGTAGTTATAGAACTATTCATATTTTCTATGTCTTTCTGTATCAGTTAGTCAGTTTTAGTAGCTTTTATTTTCTAAAAGTTTATCTATTTGGTCCACTTTTATTGACATAAATTGTTCATCCCTCTCTTTTATGATATTTTAAATGTATGTAACATTTGTAAATAAAACTTATTTTTATTTGAAAAGATTCATTTCTGCTTTTCTTAGGCTACCTTGCATTCCAATATTCATTATTTGTACCTTTTCTGTTTTAAGTAAGTCTCACTAGTGTTAATTTTATTAGTCTTTCTAATAACAGTTTTGACTTTGTTGCTTCCTTGCATTGTATGTTTTCTACTACAAACTGTTATTTGGTATTTCTTTGTTTATACTTTGCTTTGCTGTTCCAACATCTTCAGATAAGTGCTTCATTATTATTTTTTTCTTATATTATTTTCAATTATATGTAGATAAGATGATAAACTTCTCCCTAAGAACTGTTCTAACTATACCTGGATAGACATTTCTTTCTTATGAGTCAGTTCAAACTATCCTTTTATTTCCTTTAGTTTGATAACAATCCCATTCAAATCATTTATTCTTCATCCCCTTCCTTCCTCACTTTCCCAGATTTTAATCGAGCATTTAAAGATGAAGAGCATATTATCGAAATACAGGTTTCTAGCTGCTAAGGATACATTCATCAATGAACGAGATAGACACATTCTGCTCCCTCATGAAGTGTTCATTCTAGTGAGGAAGACAAACCAATTACAAATGTATAGGGTGGCTGTAAAGTTGGGAAATATGAGTAAATATTTTGCCTTATGTGACCATGTTTTATAATCAATTAACACCTGCACTTGACAAGGTAGGGGAAGATCACCCAAAGTGAGTCTATTGGGATTGTCTGTTACCCCATTATGCCAGAATGCAGAGGGACTGGTTCAATGCCTGATTTTCAGAGATGGATTGGGTGATATGGCCACTTGGAATTGGCTGTGCATTCTCCAGATTTTAAACTCATCAATTACTTCTTCTGAGGGATGCTAAATGCACTGGTGAATCTTGTGAAAATAAGAGTCAAAGCACATTGAACCACACATTGCTAACTAGGGAGAAGAATTTGAACATATAACATAAGCCATTGAATACAATGTCTTGTAACATCAGTAAACATCAGTAAACAATTATATATATATGTATATACTCACCTCTGTCCAGGATTTATGGCTACCATGTAGACTGATGAGGAGTCAATGGCCAGAATAATTAGATCATGCTGGTTCAAGTCCACATCCGCAGGAGTTTAAAGTCTTGTGTAAAGGCCTATCACCTCTGCAAGATGCTTGAAGTCTTTTTGCTCAAAGTCTCCCTTTGCATGTTGGGGCTAAAGAAATCTAGAGCAAAGAATTACTGTTAAGGCTAAGTGTAAGTGAAGTATAAAGAGTGAAGTGCTAAACAGGGAAGGTCTTCGATAGATACAATGACCGCATAATGTATTGCTCTGACCAGGGCACCTTTGGGGACAAATGGGGGTGCAAATAATTTCACCAATTGGCATAAGCGTCTATCACCTTGGTTTAAATTAGGAGCTATGATAACTCCATCAATAAATGGTAGTTTAGCGAGAGAGACAGGGAAAAGAGAAGAGGGGTGAAGGGACAGAATGGAACAGAAACAGACATTAGATAGATTATCAAAGCTGACAGGAGCTTTCAATATCATCCAGTACTTATTCTTGCCCTGTGATTTACATGCCCTAAGGAAGCTGTGGATCTATTCCAGCGAGTAAATGATTCCACAGGACTTACTTGATGTATTTCCTTGGAGGATAAATTGTATTTAATGTCACATAATAGAAGCCATTACTGTTCTATGAAAAATATAAATATGGAGTAAATCACACAATCATTCATTTTAAAAATCAAAACTAATCTTTTCAACAAATGGTGCTGAAGCAATTGGGCATCCATAGACATGAAAAAACCAAACCTTGACTTAAACCTCAAACTTTATACAAAAATGAAATCCCATACACCGACAGGATTTCAAGATGCTGAAATAAAATGATTCATGCTGGCACAGTGGATGGGTGAAAGGAGACTCAAAATAATGCCTGTTTTCTGGCATATTAAATGCTGGACACTAGAGCTAAAGGCTTTGAATACAAAGAGATAAAAGGTACATGGACATAAATGTAAAAACTATTAAACTTTTAGGAAAAAGTAAAAATCTTTAGACTGGAAACAAAAACATGATCCATAAAAAAGATGTTTATAAATTAGAACACATCAGAATTAAAAACTTTTGCTCTGTGAAAGACAAGTGAAAAGAATGAAATGACACGCTACAAAGTGGGAGAACATATCTGCAAACCACACACTTGACGAAGGGTGGGTATCTAACATATATGAAGAACTCTCCAAACTCTACAGCAAAAAAAAAAAAAAAAAAATCCAATTAGAAAATGGGAAAAAGACATGAAAGGACATTTTACTGACAAAAATACACAGATGGAAAATAAGCACATGAAAAATGTTCAACATCATTAGCCAGTAAGGAAATGCAAATTAAAACCACAGTGTGATATCACTACATGCCTATCAAAATGGCTAAAATAAAAAATGGTAACACCACTAAGTGCTGGCAAGGATGCCGTGAGACTGGATCACTCACACATTGCTGGTGGGAATGTAAAATGGTACAACCACCATGGAAAATAGTTTGGCAGTTTCTTATGTGCAATTACTCTACAACCTGGCAATTTTACTATTGGGCATTTATCCCAGAAAATAAAAACATATGTTAGCACAAGAACCTATACACTAATTTTCACAGCAGCTTTATTCGTAATAGCCCCAAACAGGAAGCAGCTCAGATGTCTTTTAAGGGTAAATAATTGAAGAAATTGCATACATCCATACCACAGAATACTGCTCAGCAATAAAAAGAAGCAAATTATCAATACACATAGTGACCTGGATGAATCTCCAGGGAATTATGTTGAGTGATAAAAGCCAATCCCAAAAGTTATATACAGTGTGATAATATTTATATAACATTCTTGAAATGATAACATTTTAGAAAACGGAGATGAGATTAGTAGTTATTTGAGACAGAAGAGAGGGTGGGAGGGAAGAAGGTGTGGTTATTGAAGAAGTAAATGTGGGTAATACCAGAGATCCTGGAGGTAATGAAAGTGCTTTGTAACATGACAGTGGTGGCGAATACTAGAACCTACACATGTGATAAACTTGTATAGAATTAATACACACATACAAATGAAGTAAAGCTGGGGAAATCTGAATAAGGTTGGAGAATTATCAATCTCAATATCTTGGTTTTGATATTGTACTATACTTTTGTAAGATGTTACCATTAGGAAAAACTGGGTAAACGGTACATGAGGTCTCTATTTTTTCTTGCAACTGTATGTGAATCTACATTATCTCAATACAAATGTCAATTATACAAAATAAAAGTTAGATTTAATGTCTTTCTTTTTTTATATGTGCAGTGTCAGATTACACCTGCAGAACCTCAGATATACTTGTATTATGTTATGCTGCTGACAAAAAAATGTAAAAGAAGCCAATACCTTCGTTTTAAAGATGAGTCACATAAAGGTTAGGTGACTACTCCAGCTGACACAGCTTGTTTGTATTAAGCAGTTATCAGTTTATGCCTTTCTGTAGTTATAATGATGGGGAATTTTATGGCAACTGTTAAGATGTCCAATCCTGGATTCAGACAACTTTGGGATACATCTCATCAGTAGTCAAACGGTCTCACCACGTGATCTTAGAAAAACAATCTCTTTGCATTTTCTACTCATTAACATAAGATAATAAAACAATCCCATACACTGACGGGAGTTCAAGATGCTGAAATAAATGATTCATGCTGATACAGTGGATGGGTGATGGGAGACTCAAAATAATGCCTGTTTCCTGGCATATTAAGTGCTGGACACTAGAGCTAAAGGCTTTGAATACAAAGAAATAAAAGGTACAATTTCTGCTTCAATAAACAGAGTCAAGGAGAGAGAATACAATAATATAAAGATAACTGTATAGAATAAAATGTGAAAAATAGGAGGGCACAGGGAATTGGTAGTTGATGAGGCTAGATAGGTAAATTCGGCAGGTGGGGAAGCACCTTTTTAGGGATCTGTACTTTGCGTAGGTTTATGTTGTCAAGGGTAGTGCAAAAGAGCCTAAGAGCCTGGTTTTTTGTTTGTTTGTTTATTTGTTTAGTGACAGGGTCTCGCTCTGTTGCTCTGTTGCCCAGGCCGGAGTGCACTGATGTGATCATAGCTCACTGCTACCTCGAATGCCTGGGCTCAAGCCATCTTCTCACCTCAGCCTCCCAAGTAGCTTGGACTATAGGCACATGCCACCATGCCTGGAATTTTAAAATTGCTTGTAGACAATGGGCTATGTTGCTCAGGCTGGTCTCAAACTTCTGGCCTCAAGCAATCTTCCTGCCTCAGCCTTGCAAAGTGCTAGGATTATAGGCGTGAGCCACCATGGCTGGCCTAGAGCCCGGTCTTTCAGGGTCGGATGGCTTTGAGGATGGCGCTCGGTGCTGTCCTTCACCAGCTGTGTTACTGTGGGCAAAATTGCTTATTTTTCTAATCCTCCCTTTTCTTATCTCCTAAATAAGAAGCGTGCAATAGAATAATTCCCTCCAGGGTGCCTGTGTCAGTTAATGAGATCATGAGTATGGACATGAATATGAACTTGGCCCTCAGTATCTTCCTGCAGCTTATTAAAACAGCCACAGTGTATGAAAAAATGTAAATATCTTTCTGTATAACTGGTCCAAAAACAATGGTAGAAAACATAATCATACCACTCCAAGGTCATTTTACATCTTCATGTTTAAAACAGACTATTCTGAAACAGTCCCTTGATTGAGAAATTACGTTCTCTGATTTCAACACTCACCTGTGCTCCCTGGCACATTCTCTTCCTCTCAAGGACTCCCTCTCCTTTTCCTCTGATTTTGCTTCAGAATAATAGTTGTCGATGAAATGAGTCAAGCTCTACAAAATATTTGAAGAGATTGATTCTGAGCCAAATATGAGTGACCAACGGTCCGTAACACAGCCTTCTGGAGGTCCCAAGAACACGTGCCCAAGGTGGTCAGGCTACGACTTGGGTTTATACATTTTAGGGACACAAAAGACATTAATCAATACAAATAAGATGTACATTGGTTGAGTCTGGAAGGCTGGGACAACGGGAAGCCCGGGGCTTCCAGGTCACAAGCAGATTCAAACACTTTCTAGTTGGCAATTTGTTAAAAGGGTTCAGTTACTGTCTAAAGACTTAGAATCAATGGAAAGGAATGTCTAGGCTAAGATAAGGGGTTGCGGAGACCAAGTTTTTATCATGCAGACAAAGCCTCCAGGTAGCTGGCTTCAGACAGAATACATTAGAAATGTTTCTTATCAGATTTAAAGAGTCCTTCTCTCAGTCATTTCAAAAGGGAGAAGGGTATAATGAGGCATGTCTGACCCCACTTCCTGTCACGGCCTGAACTAGTTTTTCAGGTTAACTTTGGAATTCATTTTGCTGAGAAGAGGAGTCCATTCTAGTGGTTGGAGGGCTTAGAATTTTATTTTTGGTTTACATAGTCTTTTCGTTTGTTTGTTTGTTTGAGATGGAGTCTCACTCTGTCGCCAGGCTGGAGTGCAGTGGCACGATCTCGGCTCACTGCAACCTCCGCCTCCCAGGTTCAAGCGATTCTCCTGCCTCAGCCTCCCAAGTACTGGGACTACAGGCGCCTGCCACCATGCCCAGCTAATTTTTGTATTTTTAGTAGAGACAGGGCTTTACCATGTTGACCAGGATGGTCTCGATTTCTTGACCGCGTGATTGACCTGCCTCGGACTCCCAAAGCGCTGGGATTACAGGTGTGAGCCACCAAGCCTGGCCGGTTTACATAGTCTTTGTGCAGGGAAACACTTAACAAAAAGTGAAGGAGCAAGGGAATATGTGTCAGGTCTGGGTGCTGGTGGCGGGGCCCTGCTGACCTCTGTAGGGGCATTTCACTCCCTTGTTTCTTTGGTTTAGGCTTTAGTCCTGCTGCACCCCCTGCTGGGGTCATTTGGTCACTCTGGCCTTAGGACACAAGTAAACATCTGAACCCACTGTCCTTCTGCATGGCCTCTGGTCCAGATGTCCTCACCCTGTGCCCACCTCACTCCATCCCTGGCCACCCTCAGTCTCTGGCCCTCTGTATTAGTTATCTATTGCTGCTAGAACAAATGCCTACAAACTTAGTGGCTCAAAATAACAAAAACTTTTCTTAGAGGTCTGGAGGTCAGAAGGTGCTGGTGAGACTGTGCTCTTTCTGAAGGCTCTAGGGGGGAATCTGTCTCCTTGCCTTTTCCTGCTTCTGGAGGCTCCTACCTCTCCTTCATCATCTGATTTTCCTGCCTCCCTCTTTTAGGACCCTTTTGATTATATCAGACCCACCTGGATAATCCAGGATAATTTCTGCATCTCAGGATTTTGTAAACCAGAACAAAAAGCCCAGGCCCCCCAGCAGAGTGAACAGAGCCAAGAGAAACCTGAAAAACGGAATTCCGAATCACGATGGGAAGGGAGGTTGGACACACCTCCTTATACCTTCTCCCTTTCGGAGTTCAGCACGACTGACCAGCATTAACACTAACATAGAGATCACAAGACCAAAAATACACTCTGTGGCAATAAGAGATCAAATTCCAACCTGACTGTTGTGTAGCATCACATGACAGATATCGGACCCTGAAGAAAATAAAAATACTTGACCCCAAGATACATTTCTCGGACATTTTGAGACGGTGCTGCAAAGCTGTCTTTCCCCGTGGGGGAAAATTCTGCATCTGTAGAGAACCTCCATTAAGGCAGCCAGGTCTTTCCAGGATCTAGGAGAGATTAACTAAGAGTCTGACACCTTTAAGGTCTGAAAAGTGACATTCACCATCTATTCTCTCTGAAGCCTGCTACCCAGAGGCTTCATCTACATAATAAGAACCTTGGCTTTCACAATTCCCCCACCCACTTATCAACTAAAGCATTTCTTCCTACTCACTTCAAGTCTTTAGTTTAACTCTTTCCACCAGTTGCCAGTCAGACAGTTTTTGGACCCACCTGTGACCTGTAAGCTCCTCACCTTTCCAGGCCGAATCAATATATTCCTTACATGTATCGATCTATGCCTTTGCGTGAAACTTCTGTCTTCCTGAAATATATAAAACCAAACTGTAACCTGACACGCTTGGGCACACGTTCTCAGGACCCCCGAGACTCTTCCTGGAGCCATGGTCATTCATATTGGCTTAGAACAAACTCCTTTAAATATTTTACAGAGTTTGGGTTTTTGGTTCACAATTATTCATCACACGTTTGCCAAGTACGGTCACATATTCACAGGTTCTGGGGGTTAGGACGTGGACATCTTTGTGGGGAAGCATTGTTCTGCCTTCCATACCCTCCTATTGTGATATTGTGCTCGCCTAGAGCCAGAACCGGAGCAAAACTATTTTATAAAATGCAAAACTGTTTTTAGATAAGTTGAAATGGCTGCCCCATTCTCCTTACAATGACTACTGTCCTTGGCCTCTGTGAACAGAACTGCCAGTTTGTTCCTCAAAACTATGTAAAGCTGCCTACCTTTTCTTATCGGTAACTGCTAAAATCTGTGACTTCTATCACCACCCAGACGATGTGTAAACAAATGTATATCCTGACTTCTGTAAACCACTGAGGTAACAAACAGAATGTCAAAAGTCCCCTAGACCTTGGAATGTCTGGAGACCCCCGCCCTTGTCTCCACCCAGGAGGTGAATCACAGAATCCCCTAGCCCTTGGAATGTCTGGAGACCCCCGCCCTTGTCTCCACCCAGGAGGTGAATCACAGAATCCCCTAGCCCTTGAAATGTCCGAAACCTTATCATCCCCATCCCCGCCCCTCACCCCCACTCCCAAGGTGGTTTTTCGGGTATAAAAAATCATGGCACCCTCCTTTTGGCACCACAGGTTGGAGAGACGTGAGTCCTCTGTGGTCGCCGGCATAATAAATGACTCTGCAATCTGGCATACTTTTGTCTCGTGATAACTTTCTACGCTCCGGTCAAATACAACACTATCATTCCCAACCCCCTTCTAGGACAAGTAGCACACACTGGATTCCCCCATGTCACTGACGGGTCACGGGAAAGAGGAGGTGCTACTATACGCAGTCCCACTGATGAAAGCACCAAACTGCTCTTCCTCCTCCATGCAGCTGCATCATGGGGCTGACAGGCACCAGGTGAGGCCCCTTATCTCAGAGATTCAAGCGGAAAGAGTGACACAAGCCTATCTGGGGTGTGTGTTATATGACAGCATGCCTGGGGTACATAGTAGGCATGAATAAAGAGCACTGGGGAATTTTCAGCCTAAGCCTTGATGTGACAATCCTGCATTCCCCAATCCTCCCTGTTCCCACTATAATCAGGACCCAAAGAGCTAAATCCTGCAGGTAGTGAGCTGAGCTTGATTAGAAAATGAGAAGGTTCTGGGTGTGATGATCTAGGTTCTATATAGGCAGGTTCCGATGTCCGCTGGGCCTGCTAGCTGTATCGGAGTCGATCTTTCTGAGAAGGTGACTTCAAGCTGTTTCACTGGGTGGCAGGGAAAGTTGTGTTCGGGCAGATCTGGGGAGTAGAGTCTCACACTTTGACACACAGGGAGAGGCCCCAATATCCAAAATTCCAGCTGCTGCAGCGTCACCCGTGAGCTCTCCTTAAGGCCCAGGAGGAGAGAGAACCCGAAGGCCAAGGTTGGTAGGCTGTTGTGCATTCCTGGTTTCCTCTGTGTGTGTGGTTGGAGGTGGGGGGTTGGGGTACCTGGTCTCACATACTTCTGTTCTCAGTTTTAAGGTGTGACTTCTCAGGAGTCTGTGTTCCCCTGAGAACAGGAGGTGAAGGATGAAAAGAAAAACAGCTCTGTCATTTCTAGCGGTGATATCACAGGTGAATTGCTTACTTCTGATTTCCTTCCTAAAATACCAATTTACAGGGCTAAAGACATTTTGCATTTGTTCCACCACATGGGTGCAGTTTCCCATTCTGGCGATGAGATGACCTGAATAACCCAGTAGCTTTCTTTAGGGACCCAAGTTTTAGGATTCATTCAACAAACTATTCAGGACTGACTGACCAAGGGGAGTCATCAGAGCAGGTCTTCTAGGCATGGATTTGTTTGAAAACTTTAAGGCTGAAGAATAGGAGTCCCTGGGTATAGTGAGTTTAGTTTGAAGTTGGACAGCTTGCATTTGTTGTGGGCACAGGGAGCAGTAGACTTGCTCTCAAGTCTACAGGAGAGCTGCAGCAGTGCACAGGTGGTCAGGTGGATGGGATGAAGGCGGTCAGGTGGATGGGATGAAGGCGGTCAGGTGGATGGGATGAAGGCGGTCAGGTGGAGGGATGTTGCCATATTTCTGGGTAACAAGAGGTCACTGGTCCTGACAGACTTAAAATCCAACACATACTACGCTAATTAAAGCAATATAGAAACGATAACACAGTGGTGGATAAACAGAAGAAAACAGAAGGCCAGATACACATTGTGGTAGGATGAACACTCTCCCCACCCTTTGCAAGATATCTCCATCCTAGTTCCTGGAAGCTGTGGTAAAAGGTACTTTGCAGGTGTGATGAAGATGAGGATCTTCAGATGGGGGGTTTCTCCTGGGTTGTCTGGGTGGGCCTGAAATGTAATCACTGGATCTTTATAGATACAGGCAGGGGGGTGCTATGTTGCTGGCTTTGAAGACAGGATAGGGCTGGCCACAAGCCAAGGAATGCGGGTGGTTTCTAGAAAGCTAGAAAAGTTGAGGGATCAGATTCTTCCTAGAGCCTGCAGCAGGAACACAGCACTGCTAACCCATATTGTACTTCTGAACTCCAGAACTGTAAGATTATAAATTTGTGTTGTTTTAAGGCATGAAGTTGGTGGTAATTTGTTCCAGCAGCAGTAAGAAACATTAGTTTCCCACTAATCCACATATTTAGGGCCACATATTTAGAACTGAGTAAATGACAGAGATCACATTTACATTAGAGGACAGGCTGATTTAATCGTGGCATTAAATAACAATGTCCGAATATAGTAGCTAGAATTTCATTGAATTATAAATGAATTCACCAAAATATCTTTTAAAATATAGTCTGTGAAGACATTTTCATCCCTCAGTCAGGCAGACCTGAGTTAAATTTTACTTCTGTAATTTTTCAAATTATATAAGAACTCTATCAATGTATTATGTTATTTTAAACAAGGTAGATGTAATTTTTTTCTTTTTTTTTTTTTTGAGATTGAGTCTCGCTCTGTCGCCAGGCTGGAGTGTAGTGGTACCATCTTTGCCCACTGCAGCCTCCTCGCAGGAGAATTCATGAGTTTCTCCTGCTTCAGCCTCCTGAGTAGCTGGGACTATAGGCGCATACCACCATGCCCAGCTAATTTTTTTGTATTTTTAGTAGAAACAGGGTTTCACCATATTGGCCTGGAGGGTCTTTTTTTTTTTTTTTTTTTTTTTAGAGGGGGAGTTTTTCTCTTTTTACCCAGGCTGGAGTGCAATGGCACGATCTCGGCTCACCGCAACCTCCGCCTCCTGGGTTCAGGCAATTCTCCTGCCTCAGCCTCCTGAGTAGCTGGGATTACAGGCACGCGCCACCATGCCCAGCTAATGTTTTGTATTTTTAGTAGAGACGGGGTTTCACCATGTTGACCAGGATGGTCTCGATCTCTTGACCTCGTGATCTGCCCGCTTCAGCCTCCCAAAGTGCTAGGACTACAGGTGTGAGCCACAGCACCTGGCCTGAAGTATTTTTTAAAAGACCTTTTTTGGCCTGGCACCAAAAGAAAGCTACTTGGGAGGCTGAGGTGGAATTGCTTGAATCCAGGAGGCAGAGGTTGCAGTGAGCCGAGATTGCGCTACTGCACTCCAGCCTCAGAGCAAGACTCCGTCTCAAAAAAAAAAAAAAAAAAAAAAAGACCCTTTTTATTTCTAACCCTACTCACCACTGCCTTCAGTTTTATGTACAATAGATCTTCTTTTATTGATATGTCTATATTCTGTAACTTTTTAAGTTTTGTAATTTATTTTGGAGATGTTTCCATAGCAGTACACCTAGCTGGCCCTTATTCTCAACACGTGCCACATGTTCTGCAATGTGAATTTTTCTGTTTTTGGACCATTCTCCTGTTCACAGATCTATGTTTGCAGTATTTCCGTGACAGAGTAACGCTGCAGTGAAGTCTCTGCATGTTCTTAAACTTTAAGAAAGCCATCTAGACTTAGAATTTCTGAGTCAAGGACATGTACCTTTTACCATGTCAGATACTGCCAAGTCATGCTCCAGAAGTACCATGCTGACTTTGAAGTCCACTAATCAGTGGGATTGATGGCTTGCTTCCATCCCTTAAAAACACTGGATAGTGTCCATGTTTTAAATGTTGTGACTGTCTTGCCAAAACAAACAAGACTTTTGTTGCTAATATAATGTGCATTGAATTGAGGACACTTTGTCTACTTATTGATCATTGGCATGCTTGCTTCAGTGAACTGTTCATTCACATACTTTCAGCATTTGTCTAGTCTGCAGCTTCTATTTTCCTTATTGATCTGTATAAATTCTGAATTAGTTCCTTGTTGGTTATACAACATACTAATTTCAATTTTTTCCAAGAGATTTCTTTCTCCTTTATAAGGTCATTTTTGTTATTTCCTTTTATTTGGCACTTTAGTCTTTAAGAAATTTTTCTGTTGCAAGTCTAAAAACCTTCATTTTCTCACATTTTAATAGTTTTAATTATTTTTTATTTTATCTGAAACATATTCTCATAGGAAGAGATCTTGCTTTCCCCTACTAAGGCATATTCAGTTATTGTCTGAGGATTCATTGAATGGTTTCCCAACAGACCTGTTGGTCATCTTTTTTAGGTAGTAAACGTTTCTATATTTGCATGTTTCTGGCCTCTCTTTGTTTGATCTCTTTATCTGTGCTGATGACATTCCTAACCCACTTGAATTACTATAACTTTACTCCGCACTGTGGCAAGAACAAGATCTTCATTAACTTTTCATGTAAAAAACTAGTCTGTTACATTTTTCCCTTGTGTGAAAATCATGTATTCATTTATGACATTTTACAAAAATAATCTTAATGGATTTTTTAAAAAATGGAGATACTATTGAATTTATGTATATACTTGGGAGAACTGACATGGTTCTAGTATTACTTGCAAAGAACTTTTGACTGCTCATATTGAGAGACTGTCATATCTTCAGTTTTGACTGATTTATAATACTGGTTTGAAACCCAGTAGGTTCAAAACTCAAGAAGAGCTGAAGCTCCAGTTTCAGTCTGAAGCAGAAAGAGACCGAAGTCCCAGCTTATGCAGCCAGGCAGGATGAATTCCCTTATCATTCTTCCTAGGTGGGATTCTGACTCAGATGTATTCGGTCATAATCCCACAGATTATACACTCCAGGCATTCATATACTTGAGGTATTTGCTACCTTACAAATGGTAGCTTTACCCCATCGACTCAGCCAAGCATGTACACCAAATGTATGTTTCCTAAGCTGTTACTCTATCATGAGGATAAGTAATTTTGACTTCCTAAACTCTGCAAGAGTAAATCACACTTTATTGTCTTCTTTCTATTACAGCTTTTGGCCATATATTCTAATGTATCCTTATATCCTGTCTGCCTCCTTAGCAGGCCCAATTTGAAAGATATCTATCAAGGACCACATGGAGGCACGTATACATATAAAGTATAAATTGTTATTTCAGGAGTCGGTGAAATTTAGAGATGTGGCTGTGGTCTTCTCGCCAGATGAGTGGGATTATCTGAACCCTGAACAGAAAAACCTGTATAAAGATGTGATGCTGGATAGCTGTAATTACCTTGCGTCTTTGGGTAAGGAGGTCTTGTTAGTTCACAACTGCCCATGGGAGGATTTTTTCCTTCTGTGCGAATATCTGCAAAACTCCCTAAAAATGCTTGGTTGAATTTATAACTTCATATCCTTCAGTAAAGCATTATAGCTCTCTGTTAAGGAAAGACATTTTCCTCTTATGATGATACAAGCTTCTTATTCCACACTGTCCTCAAAATCATCACACTATCCTCTGAAACTATAGCCTGAGGCTATCATATGCCTAAGAAATAGCTGGGGAATGGTTTAAAATATAGATGGTCTTTCATACAAAAACACGGCTTTAGAAGATCTGGGAAGATTGGGGTGTTAATGAGATTCCTCATCACCAAAAATGTGGGTCTAAATTCTGTAATAACCACAACATGATCAAGATCATTTATTTTTCTTAGGGAACTGGACTTATGGGGCAAAAGTGATGTCCTCTTTGAAGCAAGGGAAGGAGCCCTGGATGATGGAGAGAGAGGTAACAGGTGTTCCCTGCCCAGGTAAGAAGCAAGTGGAAGTCATCATAACTCACATCTCAACTCAGAGTAAACTGACACTTCCCCTCCAACCCTCACCAGGAGGTGACTTCAGTCCATGAGTTTCCAAAGGAATCTTTACTCCACATTTATCATTCTCCCTGTACTTTTTGTTCTAACTATAGCTTAGGACAATAATTGGTGTGCTGGTAAAGATTTGAAATGTAGGCTACCACCTGAATGGATAAAAGGATGAATAGCTGAATTGGTCAAAAAACTTGTCAATGATTACAACGAATGAATGGGTTAGCTCAGAAAAGTGGCCCAGAAAGTTTGTTAGTTTGTTTTTGAAATTCTGGAGAGAGACTTATTTTCTCTTTAGATTATTAGGTTAGAGAATGACAAATCAGAAAAACAAATTTACCATCTAGTTGGAAAGAGATGACTTGTCCTTCATTAACAGCAGGTAGAAACTGCCAGAATGTAAGATGATCCAGGGATTTCAGAGAAACTTGTTTCTCAAGTTTCAGTCCTGACATCAGGGAAGGCAGCTCATTAATAGGCTCCTGAAAGTCAGAGGATGGAAAGCTGGTTAGATGATCATGATGAATTTTGGTTGGGAGTATCATAGATCTGAAGAGTAAAATACCAAATGCATTTAAGCTATATGAGCATTTTGGAAAGTGGACTGGAATCCACTTATTATAGATTTATAAGACTTGTTTGCAAGAATTCCAAATAACCCTGTTTATTCTTTAAATACTTAATAAATTGGCCCAAACTCCTCACCTACCCCCAAACTAGTTCTTTTCTCTCCCTTAAACTTTCATTTTTAAGTGCACCCCTGAACATTTTTCTACCAAGCTATAATCACTTTCATATTTACTACAAAATGTTTTTCTGATCTTTCCACTGCCACCTTGTGGTTTTAGAACACAAATCGGTTTGTTGTGTTTTGTTTTGCGACATATTTGAATAAAACCATGTATCCTGTTTAGGGCTGGCGTGTGGTAGTGGGAGGTTTGGAAGTTAGATACTAAGGTTGAGTCAATCAGTTGTCACTGCTGTTCTAGTCAAGACTCCACTGTCATTTTGTATAACCTTCATTTCTAATTCATTATGTCATTCTCCATGTGCTAGAAAGTGGGTCTAATATCTTTTCTATGTTGTTAAATAGCCAGGTGTGGTGGTTCTTGCCTGTAGTCCCAACTATTCGGGAGGCTGAGGCAGGAGAGTCACTTGAACCCAGGAGGCAGAGGTTGCACTGAGTCTAGATCATGTCAACTGCACTTCAGCTTGGGAAACAGAGTGAGACTGTCTCAAAAAAAAAAAAAATGCTTATACTAGTTGTAAAATTTGCATGATTTTACATACGGCTGCACTTATTTAAACAGCATGCTGCAAAAATCTCACTTCTTACCTTTCTATTTAGCTGTTTCTAAAATCTTTACATGTTATATCTACGCATCTTACTTTTTAGTGCAATATAGTATTCTTTAATATGCATCCACCACACACCAGTTTTAGCGGGGAAAAAAATCCTAAGTCTCTACAATTCCTTCTGACCCAAATCTCATCTTTTTCCTTTAGAATCTATAACAATTTCTCTGGTTCACAGGGCATATTATAGTTTAACAAAACATACCCAGATTACTTTCTGGACATCTGTGAATTTTACACTCTGACCCACATAACTTCTCTTTTCTGCATCTTACCATTGCTTGCTAACGTTTACATTTTAGTTGGCTCCATTTTAATAGTTAAGCTTTGTCTCTTTAATTCTCATTTCTCTAACAGTAAGATGAAGCTCACATGATACTCTCGTCATCCACTCTCTATTTAGCTTTTATGAATTGCTTCTTCATGTCTGCACATTTTCTAATGTTTTTCTCTTTTCCTTTGTGGAATTGAAGAATTTTATGTTATATATAAAGTATTTTTTGGTTTAGAATGTTTGATTACTTATTGTCAATCTGTCATTTGCCTGTTGACTCTGGTGCTTCTCTTGATCAGAAATCCTTCATTTTTTGACTTATAGCTTTTGCTTATCGTCTTTTTGTTGTCATTTAAGAAGCCCACTGCATCCTAGGTCTTAAAGACATTCTCCTATTAGCGTTATGGGTTTAAAATTCACATTTTAATCTGTCTATATTTGTATATGGCATAATGGGACAACCAGCCCCATTTTTTTCTGAATAATGAGCCAGTTTTTACAATACCACCCACCAAAGCATCTATCCTGTCCTCACTGACTTGTGATGCCATCCTTATATAAGGCATAGGTACTATACAGCTATAGAAATCATCTTCTGACATTTCTTTATTCCATTCGTGTATTTGTCTGTTCTGTGTGAGTATAATATTCTTTATTATAGTAGTGTGGTTTTCTGATTAGCCATCATAGTGGGTTCTTTTATTTAAAATTAGTTTTCTATTCTTGGAGTGTATTCTTTGGTAATTTTCTTGCTTCAAGTATTTTGAAGCTCTGTAGGTGCATAAACACTTAGAATTATGCTCTCAGTTAATTCCTTATTATGAAATAATCTTCTTTATCACTAGAAATACTTATTATTCTAAGATGCATTTTGTCTGATATTAATATAGCTACTCTAGCTTTCTTTCAACTGTTAGTGTGGTATATATTTTCCATCCATCTGCTTTTTAACTTATTCGTATCTCTAAAGTGAGTTTATTATAGTTAGCAAGTAAGTTGGTTTTACTTTCTCATACAAGCTTGATAATCTCTACCTTTTCATTGGGGTGCTTACGCCACTGGGTCTCAATGAGGAGAAGGGAAGACCTTGCCCCCTAAGGGCATCTGGCAATGTCTGTGACCTTTTTGGTGGTAATAACTGGGTGTGTAGGCATGCTACTGGCATCTAGGGCATAACAGTCAGAGATCCCAAGATCCTTCATGCACATGATAGCCCCCACAACAAAGAATTCTCTGATAAAAAGTAAAGAGTGCTCAGGTTGTGAAACCTTGTGTTTATATTTTAAGTTTACTGTGATTATTGATATAGTTAGGCTTGAACCTAAATCAAATAGATTTCTATTTGTCATATCTGTTCTTCCCTCGTTTCTCTTTTATTCCGCTTTATTTTCCTTACCTTATTTTAGATTAATTACTTTCTTAGGATTCAATTTTATCACCTTTATTGGCTTATTAGCTGTAACTCTATTTTAGTGGTTGTGTTAGGATTTGAGTTTACAGTATCTGTCTTTAACTTATCATAATCTTCCTGCAAGTGACAGTATACTCTTTTATGTAGAATATAAGAATTATACTGTAGTTCCTTTTTTTTTTTGAGATGGAGTTTTGCTCTCGTTGCCCAGGCTGGAGTACAATGGCACAATCTTGGCTTACCACAACCTCTGTCTCCCAGGTTCAAGTGATTCTTCTGCCTCAGCCTCCCAACTAGCTTGGATTACAGGAATGCACCACCATGCCTGGCTAATTTTGTATTTTTAGTAGAGACAGGGTTTTTCTGTGTTGGCCAGGCTGGTCTCAAACTTCCGACCTCAGGTGACCCGCCCGTCTTGGCCTCCCAGAGTGCTGGGTTTACAGGCGTGAGCCACCGTGCCCAGCCTATACTGTAGTTCTCATACTATATATACCATACATATTATACTGTAATTTATCTCACCCGCCTTTATGGTGTTGCTGTCATACATTTTACTTTTACGTGTTATAAGCCCTATAATACATTATTTGTGTTAGTCAGTATTTTAAAGAGATTTAAGTAATAATCAACTCACACATATTTACCATACAGTTACAATTTCTGTTGCTTTTCATTCCTTGGTGCAGGGCCAAACTCCCATCTGGCATCTTTCTTTCCGCCTGCAGGACTTCCTTTAAAATTACTTGCAGTATAGCTCTGCTGATAATGAGTTCTTTCAATCTCTGTATTTCTGAAAAGGTCTTCTGTTTGTCTTCATTTTTGAAAACCATATGCTGGGCATAGAATTCTAGTTGATTCCAGTTGATAGGTTTTTTTTTTTTTTTTTTTGTACCTTAAAGATTTTGTTCCATTATCTTTTTTGCTTAGTGTTTGCAGTGAGAACTCTGACGTCATCTTTGTCTTTGTGCCATGTATGTAATGTCTTTTTCCCCGCTCTGTTGCTTTTTACTGTTTTCTGTTTATCACTGGCTTTGAACAATTTCATTATAATGTACCTTAATGTAATTCTCTTCCTGTTTCTTATTGTGTGATTTGGGCTTCTTGGATCTGTGGGTTTATAGTTTTTACTGTGTTTGAGAGTTTTTTGGCCATTATTTCTTCAAATATTTTTCTGGTCCCTCCCCAATCCCCTTCCCCACTCTATTTCAGAGATTCTAGTTGCCCACATATTAGACCATATGATGAAGTTGGTAAATCTTCTACTCATTTTTAATAGGACTCACATTTAATGGATGGCCGTGCTTTCTTTTAATCCTGACTTCTCTTTTATATATTCTATTTCTCCAGTCCCTTCCTGGTTGAAAAAAAAAGAGTTTTCCAACCAGGTTTTCCATGCTGCTATTTCATCTTTGGCTATATAATTTTTGCTATAAATGCCAACCATTAAGTTCATTTAAACATAGCTTCAAGGCTGGCCATGGTAACTGATACCTGTAAACCCACCACTTTGGGAGGCTAAGGCAGGCAAGTCCCTTGAGGTCAGGGGTTTGAGACCAGCCTTGCCAACATAAAAAAAAAAAAACTATCTCTACTAAAAATACAAAAATTAGCCAGATGTGGTGCCATGTCCAGCTACTCAAGAGGCTGAGGCAGGAGAATCACTTGAGCCTGAGCAGTAGGGGTTAAAATGAGCCGATATCATATCACTGCACTCCAGCCTGGGCAACAAGTGAGACCCAGTCTCAATAAAAAAAAAATTAAAATTAAAATTAAAAATTAAACCCTGTATCTTCAAACCAACTGTTCTCACTTTGTCCTTTTTTATTACCACTGATTCTGTCCCATGTTGAAATGTCTTATTTATCTCTTGAAAAATATTACTCATGTATATTAATAAATATTCCACTATATCTGTACATTTTTCTAAGCACTTCAGTAGCATCTCAGACTAGAATGAGGAAGATAACAGAAACTCCTGCTGGTTCTCCATCTTATCAGTGGTAGATTTTTTTGGTCTATATTAACATATCTATAATATTTTGTATATGTATAGAAATGCTCAATCTATAATTCATATGTGTGTAGAAATGCTCAAGTTTCTTTCTGCAGTTAAACAGTTTCTAGATGTCTTTATTACAACAAAATGCTAGAACTCATGACATCACAGTTTTATATAAAGATAAGTTTGATGGTCTAGGGTTATCAAGACACTGGAAAATAATGGTGTATTCATGCAGTATAAGAACTTGAATGCAGTGTGTATATATACCAAAAATATAATTGGGATTCTCATTTCTAAGAATCAATAATATAATGTACTAGGATATATTTCAACAAACTAACAAAGATATAGATTTAAGGTTGTTCTTAATGTTCTGAGCAATAACAAAAATAAGTACAACTCAACTATCCAAATAGAGCACTGGCCCAATCCATAATGACCCTGTTGACTGGGCACGGTGGCTCATACCTGTAATCCTAGCACTTTGGGAGGCCAAGGTGGGCAGATTGCCTGAGGTCAGGAGTTTGAGACCAGCCCGGCTAACATGGTGAAACCCTGTTTCTACTCAAAATACAAAAAATTAGCAGGTGTGGTGGCACCCCGCTATAATCCCAGCTACTCAGGAATCTGATGCAGGAGAATCACTTGAATCTGGGGGGCGGAGGTTGCAGTGAGCCGAGATCGCATTATTGCACTGCAGCTTGGGCAACAAGAGCAAAACTCCATCTCAAAAAAGAAAATGATAAAAAAAAAATGACCCTGTTGCACAGTAAAACATCAAATATCAAATTGATAAGACAGATGTATATTTACTCATAAGTATCCCCTATTTTGATGTTCAAAGGAAAATATTTAAAGTGTAATCACTTTCACAAATTGCTATACCACACAGGAATATTTTAAAGGAGCATGGTGAAAATAAAATTTTAATCCATGCTTATGATTTCATGTGATTCTTTTTAGGTTCTTTAAGTTTTTGTTAGGGTTATTAAAATTTCACTGAGCCATTTTTACTACCACAAGTATAGTTACTTCAAGTTTAAAGATATAGAGAAAAATTCAATGGCCACTGTTGATCACTTAAATCATTTTTGTGCTTGGAGAAGCAATTCTCTTCCTCTCCACCTCCACAAACTCCTGCTTCTCATCCTACTTCTCTAATGCCACTGTACTCTTCTTTCCCTTGCTTTCCTAATTAACTTGATGTATGTTGGCGTGCCCACTTCTGATTTTCTTTTTTTCTCATATTGTTTTCCTAACAGCATGTCAACCAGCCTTGGCAACATTTCGTGCCCTCAAGGAATCTGCGGATGCCTTCAGACAAAGCTTTCACCACAGAGAATACCAAAAACGTGGTACTTCTGTCCAGCATTATGAATGTGATGACTGCGGCATGGCTTTTGGGCATATCTCACAACTTAATGGGCATCAGAAAATCCATCAGGTAGGGGCAGCCCACAGATATGGTGAAAATACAAAGGCCTTTAGGCATCGCTTATCATTTACAATGCTCCAGAAAATTTGTATGCTATATAAACACTTCGAATGTAACCAATGTGGCGAAACTTTTAACAGACCTTCAAAGGTTATTCAACATCAGAGCATGCACAGTGGACTGAAGCCATACAAATGTGATGTATGTCAAAAGGCCTTCAGGTTTCTCTCATCCCTCTCTATACATCAGAGGTTTCATGTTGGCCAGAGACTAAACCTGACTCAGCATAAAAAAACTCTTACTCAAAGGAAGCCCTTTTCCTGTAACTTTTGTGGAAAAACCTTTCGCTATTTCTCAGAAAAAACTCAACATCTATTAATTCATACTAGAAAGAAATATTACACATGTAATTATTGCAAAAAGGAATTCAATCCATACTCCAAATTTATTCTACATCAAAGAACTCATACAGGAGAGAAACCCCACAAATGTGATGTTTGTGAGAAATCTTTTAAAAGCATCTCAAATCTTAATAAACATCAGAAAACTCATACTGGAGAGAAGCCCTTTTCATGTAATGAATGTAAAAAAGCCTTTGCCCAGAGCACAGATCTTGTTCGCCACCAACAAATCCATATTGGAAATAAATCTTTTATTTGTAGTAATTGTAAAAAGACCTTTGTCCGGATGTCAGATCTAACGCAACATCGAAGAATTCATACAGGAGAGAGACCTTACCAATGTACGACTTGTGAAAAAACCTTTAAATATCGGCCAAACTTGACTAAACATCAGAAAACTCATTCTACAGAGAGGCCCTTTACATGTAATGAATGTGGAAAGACCTTTCATCTTAACTGGGAACTTAATCGCCATAAAATAATTCATACTGGAGAGAAACGCTATGAATGTGGTGAATGTGGAAAGCATTTTAACAATAATTCAAATCTTAATAAACACAAGAAAATCCATACAGGAGAGAAACACTTTGTATGTAATCAATGTGGAAAAGCTTTTAGCTTAAACTCAAGGCTTTCTCGACATCAGATGACTCACAATAAAAAGAAACCCTAAAAAAAGAGAGATGAAGAAAGATATTTAGAGATGACTGACTGTTTGCTAAACTCAAGAGATAAATGTAGAAAGATTTTTAGTCGAAGCCTAATTCTTCTGCACAGATTCATGCTCTATGGAATATCTTGGAAATATAAATATGTAAATGTTGAAGAAATAGGCTATCAGAAATGTACTTTATTGCATTAACTTGAGTCTGGCTGGGCATAGTGGCCCATGCCTGTAATCACAGCACTTTGGGAGGCCAAGGTAGGTGGATCATGAGGTCAGGAGTTTAAGACTAGCTTGGCCAACATGGTGAAACCCCATCTCTACTAAAGATACAAAAAAAAAAAAAAAAAATTAGCCAGGTATGGTGGCACACACCTGTAATTCCAGCTACTCAGGAGACTGAGGGAGGAGAATCGCTTGAACACAGGAGGTGGAGATTGCAGTGAGCTGAGATCACACCATTGCACTCCAGCCTGGGCAACAGGGCGAGACTCCGGGAAAAAAAAAAGTTAAGTGGGTTCAACTAAATCTGAAATTGGGTAAAGCAGTTCCTGTGGTGAGCAGTGATAAGCTAAGAGGCAGCTAGAAGGATGCAGTGAAAAGAACATTCATTTTGCTGTTTGTTCATAATTGTCTTTCACTGGATTAACAAATAGAAGTAGCTATCTAAAGATGCAAACTTTTATAGGTTAGACAATGCAACCCTAATCTAAGCATAAGTAAGGAAAACAAAAGCCATCTTTTCTGAATGAATTAGAAGTTTTGGAGAACTTTGCTAGTAGACAGTGAAAAGTAAAAAGCTGATTATGACTCTGAACTAAAGGGTAAAGAATTAGGAGGGGTGACATGAGAAATCCAAAGGTCTTGGGCCTGTGGATAAGATGGTTTCTGCTGCCTTGCCTAAATGGCCAGGGGTGGTGGCTCATGCCTGTAATCCCAGCACTTTGGGAGGCTGAGGTAGGTGGATCACTTGAGGTCAGGAGTTTCAGACCAGCCTGGCCAACATGGTAAACCCTGTCTCTACTGAAAATACATGGTGGCGTGTGCCTGTGATCCCAGCTACTTGGGAGGCTGAGGCAGAAGAATTGCTTGAACTCAGGAGGCGGAGGTTGCAGTGAGCTGAGATCATGCCACTACACTCCAGCCTGGGCAACAGAGCCAGACTCCATCTCAAAAAAAAAAAAAAAAAAAAAGCCAAAAAATAAATGGATATAACTGAGACACCCAGCTTCCCCAAATAGTTTGCACCATTCTTTTACGTTTCTAAAGAATCAGGAAGAAAGAGAGAGATTGCAACAATTCTAGGCCTTAGATTCAGAATATGGAGAACTCTACTGGGAGTATTACGTTATCTGAAATTGATTTCTTGTTGTATGTCTTCTATGCTAAGCTTTCTAGTATATGCTAATACTAGCATGTAATATTGAATACATTTGAGCCTTGTATCAGAAGTCGAATTATACTTTCCCGAATTTGTTCTAATAAACATCGGTGGTAACTTGCCTGTGTTTGGCTAAGTGGGGTGGGCATAGTTAGGGTTGGCCTCAATCCATAGACACTATTCAGTTTCTTTATTCTCTCATGTTTCTTTGCTTACTCAGACACGACACACGACAGGAGCTGCCGCAGAGCTCAATTGTTGTATAATCCCCAGGTGTGCCTCCTTTTCATCTGCCTCACTACTTGTATGTTGAGGCATCAGTATGTTTGTATCTCTAAGGAAAGGTATATATGTGTGTATATATGGCTCACTTTTCACAAATAACAGACACATTAGTTTTATAGATCTCAAATTACATATAAGCCAAAAATGCAGCTGAAATAAGTTAACTGAGTGCAAAGAAAATATTGTAATAAATTAAAAAATATTTTTATGAATATTACAAAAATGGGAATGGCTATTGGGATAAAGATAAAAATTATGCACAGTACCTGTCATTCCTAATTTTTGTCCTTAAAGTCCTGGGTTAAAGTTAAACAGGAAACATTTTACATGTTTCAAATATGCAAAGACTTTTCAACACGGCTCCTATCAGGGTCAAACTGCTAACTCTAAAGCCTATAGTGAGAAGAGAAAAGTTTTCTAGGACGCACCAGAACAACTTGTTCTGAAAAGCCTAGTGTCCCAAATTCACCATCATCAAACTCTAATTTTTTATTGACATCTAACACTTTCTTCTTTGTATCTCTGCCATACTTCTTAGGGGCTATCACTAATTTCTAAGCCCAACGTCTCCAGTTTTGTGAAAAAGGTAAAAGAATAGCCATCATGTAAACGTTAGGCTAGTCAAAACATCCTCACTGGAAAGTTTCAGCAGAAAGTTTTCTATTTTCTTTGGGGTTTTAATTAAAATCATAACAGTTCTATTGTTTAAGCAAAAATAACAGATGGAGAGAGAGGTTAAATACTTCAATTTAGGCGTAAAATGTCATCTGCACATTAATGTAAATGATGCATCTTTTGCTTTTAATAATTAAATCCTTACATTGTTTTCATTCTCACATATTTGAGGAGATATAATAGTTTGTGGGTTTAATGGAATCCCTCCCTAAAGATATGTTGAAGTTTTAACTGCTGGTGCTCATGAATTCGACCCTATTTAAAAATAGGATCATTTTGAAGATGTAATCAAGATTAAATCATACTAGATTAGGGTGGGTCCTAAGTTCAATCACTGTCTTCATAAGAGGAGACACAAGACAACTGGCTGTTGAATGAATGCTTTAACTCTCTTAAATATTAAATTATCTCTGAAGATAACTTCCACAGAATGCAAAATTGGAGACAGCACAGAATATGATCCATGTACCTTATATAAACAATGTTAGGTATCTGCATTAACTCACTGGCTATCTCTAATCCCCACCCCCCACCTTTTTTTTTTGCCTAAAACATATCTAGTCTGGTTAACTTTTAAATTATCATGGGGTACAAGAGTATTCCCTCCATTGTCAGGGAACCAATATGAGGAACCTGCCACTAAGTAAGTCTGTTTCCACTATGCATTCTGGCACTGAGGAAATAACCACAGGATGGGCCTGTGGTCCCCCTGGCAGAAGCAAACCCTAGCGGAGTTGGATTCAGGCCAAGACTCTATCTATCTCCTGACCTTCATAAGTCTCCACTCTGATTATGGGCCACTGTACTGTTTGGAAGCTATGAGAATTCACATAATTAGAGCCAATATCCAAGTCCCCAGAGAGGTCTGGGTATTTCCTTCTCCCTCATGCATGGCCATGGTGGTCAGGGTGACCACAGAGACCCTTGGGAGGGCCTGGAGAAAGATTTGCACAATGCCTCTATGGCTACATTGCAGGAACTTTCTTAAAAGGTCTTTCTGAAGCCACTTCGGGTCTAGGAATTGGCTTAAGTCTCAAAGTTGAGTAAGGTGCTATGAATTCCCAATATAATTCCTTAGGTAATATTTCTGTCCAGGAGACCCAGAAATTGTTCACCTCTATGTCAAGTTGCTCCTTCAAAGGAGGCCCATCTAATTTCATTCTAGGGTCTCCATGATGCACTAGCTGTCACTGGCAGGCCAACACCTGATTACCACTGTTTCCTAAGGCATGTTACAACAGTGTCTGCTTTGTCTCCAAAAGTGAGGTGCTGCTGCCTGGTTTACCAAGCTCCAGAACCTCATTTCCATTTTGAGGATCTGTTTCATGGGACCACTTCTGGTACCAGTTACAGAATTAGTCCCATTAAGAAATGGCTCATTTGAAAGGAACAAAAGAAAATTGAATGAAGAGATGCTACAAAAGTGTGAGAAGGGTTGCAGGAAACCAAAAAGGGATCCCTAGCCCTGAAGGGAAAGCAGGAGTGTGATGGCTTTGTAATCTGTCACTTTGGCTCAGCTGATTTTATGTTCCCCAGAATTCCCTGTATGTTTCTCGTGAGGGTGGGTCACAGAGGACATCTTGGCATGAGATCTGGAGGGTGGTGACAAAGAAACGCTCATTTTGTTTTTATGCTTAGAAAGGCTTCTGGCCCCAACACATTTCTTACCTGCTGGTTCTTATTGGTGTGGCTCAGTAGGCAAGCCTGTGGCTGCTCTTCTTTCTGCAGGATCTTCACCAGCTCTTCCAGCTTCTGGGATATATGTGTGCTTAGCAACACAACAAATGGCATCAACCTCTGTAGGACACCCACATCATTTAGGTAGAAGACAGTAAAAACTACCACAGCTTTCTGCGTGGGTTCCAGCTTGTCTTTGTACTCTCTCACTTGGTGTTCACTTTCCCTACTTGCTTGGCCTGCAGACTTCAAGTGGCAGCATCAGCCATGAGGACAGTCATATAACAGGCTTCCTATAGTACCCTGGAGTCAAGTTTTGATAACAAATCTATCTACAGAACATACATATGGTTCTCCTGCTCTGATTGAACTCTAAATGATACCGGAAGGAAATGACTTTTGGGATCTGGGAATAGCTGTAGCTGCAGAAGAGGGCCACAAATAGGGTCTCAACCAGACACTTGATGGCAAGAGACCTCAGTTGATGCAGTTCATAGAGGTCTGCCCTAAGCATGTAGAGTCGGGTAGAGAGTGGTTCTGGAGGAACAGAGTATCCAGAAGCATCAGGCTTCTGAAGTATAACACTTGCTGTAGATATGATGGAGTAATGTGTTTCAGGATATGCAAAGAAAGTTAGCTGGGCATTTTCTAACCAGACTGATCTTCAAACATACATAAAGTCCATTGGCAAACTGTGAACATATAATAATTCAGAGACTGTTATATCCATCTTAAAGAATAAGCTATCATTTTAAATTATATTCCAGGTGAACAGGGAGAGAAGAGGGAAGAAGAGTACCAACTAATTTCATTATTGACTAACAGTAAGACACTAATATAGTATCTTTCCCTTAGTCCCTGCAAATAACAGGGATATTAAGGCATTATATAAAGATATCAGTATACTAGTAACTGACAGAACAAAAATGCAAATGCTCCACAATACTATGCAGTGAATGACAAATAGGAAGATAAAATAATCTGGCAGAACTGAAACTAAATGTGTCATATCCATAATACCAACTTATGAAATCATTTCCCATTCTCTCTCATATAATCTTATTCCCCATTTCATTGCAAAATGGAAACAATTATAAAAAATAAATTCACAAACTTCCACCACATCAACCCATATGGGTGAGTGAGCTGGCATGGCATGACCATTGCCTATTCTCTTAGAAGGGCTACCTTTCCCCCTTACACATATGTTCCAACCCATCTCACCTATGCAGAACATCCATAAACATGTATTTATTGCTATCTCTAGAAAGAAGCCTCCATTGACTACACTTTACTCTCAAGTTACTATGCCATTTCTCTTGCCTTAAGTACAACTCCTTGAAAGGGTTGTTTGCATTGTTTCCATTGCAACTCCTCTCACCTTTCTTGAAACTGCTCCATTCTTACTGTGGCCGCCTGTGGTAGCCAGCCTCTGATATGGCTCCAGAGGTCTCCACCTCCTGATATTCATGCTTCTGTGTGATTTCCTTCCACACCACATCATGGTTGGTCTGTGAGACCAATTAAGCACAGTGAAAGTGACAGTTGTAATTTCTTTATGTCTTGAAATTTGGTGTCTTGTGCTCTTCATTTTTATTCCACTTGGGGTTCATTAAACTTCTTGGACTTGTGAATTTACATTTTCCTAAGATTTGAAAAAAATGGTTCCAACATTAAAGGATAAATTTAGAGAAATTTGGCATAAAAATTAGATATTTTTGTTTTTCTTTACTACATTAAAGTGAAAGGTAACTTAATTCACAATAGCACAATAGCAACCAAATCTTTGAAGTGACTATGAATACCTTTCACAGGAAAAGAGCCAGATCAGTATACACACATACATATGTATATACTTATATATATTAACACATGCATATGTGTGTACACACACATTTATCCATCCTACTGAAGGACATAAGAACTGAATAAATGGATAAATCAATCATGTTCATATTGGGT